TGTTGTGTTAGTACCGATTTTGTTTACATCTACAGTCATGTGGTCAGTGATGGACCACATGTACGACAGTGGTCCCAGAAGATTATAATGGAAGTGAAAAATTTCTATCACCTAGTGATGTTGTAGCTTTTGTAAGGTCTTAGCATCATGCATTACTCATGTGTCTATGGCAGGGGTCCTTAAACTTTTTAAACAGGGGGCCAGTTCACTGTCCCTCAGACCGTTGGAGAGTGCGCACTGTGGGCCCGGGACTAGTCGGCTGCTAAGCAGGACAGGCAGTGGTGGCAAAAACACCCAGAGGACCGGATAAATGCGCTAGGCAGCCTGTATGTGGCCCTCGGGCCGTAGTTGGAGGATGCCTGGTCTATGGTGATGCTTATGTAAACAAACCAATTGCCCTATCAGTCATATAAAAGTCTAGCAATGAAAATTATGTATAGTATAGAATACTTGATAATCATAATAAAAGACTGTTATTTGTTTAGGTATTTATTGTATTATACTTTTCACCATTATTTTAATTATTAAATAATCAAATAATTAAATATTTATATTTATATTTAAATATTTTAAATATTAATATTTAAATAATTAAATATTAAATATTAAATAATTAAACATTATTTAAAATATTAATTTAATATTAATATTTTCATCATTATTTCTGCTTATTAAAAAAATGGTTAAGTGTAAAATAGTCTCAGACAGGTCCTTCAGGAGGTATTCCAGAAAAAGGCATTGTTATCGTAGGAGATGACAGCTCCATGTGTGCCACTGCCCCTGAAGACAAGATGTGGAGGCGGAACACAGTGACACTGATGATCCTGACCCTGTGTAGGCCTAGGCTAGTGTGTGTGTGTTTGTGTCTTAGTTTTTAACAGAAGTGTTTAAGAAGTGGAAAAAAATTGAAGGATATAAACAAAGAAAATATTTTTTGTATGGCTGTACAATGTGTTTGTGTTTTAAGCTAAATGTTGTTACAAAAGAGTCAAAGGTGTACAAAAATTGGAAAGTTTATGAAGTTTATTGAAGAAAGAAAATGTTTAAATAAGTTTAGTGTAGCCTAAGTGTACAGAGTATATAAACTCTACAGTAGTGTACAGTAATGTCCTGGGCACTCACATTCACTCACCCCTCCCTCACTGACTCACCCAGAGCAACTTCCATTCTTACTGGATTCATTTGTTTTGTCTGGCAGAGTGTTTTAGGAATTTACAGATATCAGGCGACTACACACATAAATTCAGATTTCCAGCTTCTTGTGAAAAGCTACAAGTTCTGCCAGCAGTGAGCCTGAGTTCCCACGTGGCTACCCTTGGTGGGAACTGAGCTCCAGCTGCCACCGTCATCCTATAGAGCCAGCTGATTCACCGGGCGTGACTGGGGCCCAGCAGGTTTGCTTCATTCAGTTCCATTATCACATGTAAGGAGTTCGCAGCCCCTGCTCTCCCACAGACTCCCCCACAACTGGCTTCTCCCCATGCATTGTGATGACAATTTGCTTTTTTGCTCCAACATTTTAAACTCCAGCAGTGGTAGTGTCCCAGCTGCAAACATTAATGCTGGCCCCTCTTGTGGAAACGGTGATGTTAGAAGGGGATGAGAGCCAGGGACAGCCAAAGCTGGCCATGCCAAGACTGTCTCATCTGTCATCTGGACTCATATCATGTTGCCTTTTTAATTTTCTAAAAGTTAAATGTGACCCAAGGCTTATCTGTCCTCTAAGTTCAAGATGGTTCATTTGTACTATTTTGTTTTTATTGGAAAACTATGGAAACCCTCTCTTGTGAATGAGGCGGGTGACCTGAACTTGGCATTTCTGCAGGGCCAAATACAAAAGAGGTATTCATCAAATATTTATCCAATTGGATTATTAAATTGTATTCTCTCTTTCTGTTAGAGAAGTCTCTGCAAATAAGTCTTTGGAAAGATTTCAAAATCTAAATAAGAGGTTAACTGTCAGGATGAACCAGTTTTTATTTTTATTAAAAGATGACTTCTGACATTTCCAAACTGTTTCCCAGAGTAGGTCCCATGTTTAGAGCCTGTGATTCCAAAGCACCAGGCATGCTTTAAAGTGATGGGAAAAAACAGTCTTCATTTTGGAGTCATTGAAATGTGGTACATATCTTGCTGTCCTCTTTGGAAAGTCAATAAATACACCCCACCACACCCCCGAGATTAAATATTTTCTTCCCTGTATGTCACAGTCCTGAACCCTCATAATTTTAGTGGTAGTGTAGCACAGATGTTAAGAATATGGATTTGGAACCAGATTTCGTGGTATCAGATCCTGGTCCTGCCTCTCATTTGTTATGTCACTCCTATGATTCAGTTTTCTCACCTGTAAAATGGGCATGATGATGGTATTTACCTTAAAATATTATTGTAAAGAAATAAATGATACATAGAAATAATATATCTAAATATCTATAAATCTCTTAAAACAGATCTGATATGTTGTACGGGCTTGCGGTTATGTCTAGGAACCTTTTACGTTTCTATTGCCCGGTTTTGTATGGCCTATGAGCTAAGAATGTTTTTTACATGTTTAAGTGGTTGCAAAAAACCAAAAGAAGACTGATATTTTGTGACATGTGGAAATTATATGAAATTTGAATTTCAGTGTCTACAAGTAAAGTTTTATTGGAACACAGTTGTTCCAACTGGCTCATTTGTTAATGTATTGTCTGTGGCTGCTTTGACATTAGAACAAGGTTGCTAACTGTTTTTGAATGGGATATGTCCCTACAGATTATCAAATGACGTATTAGTGAATCTGAGACTTGTGAAATCTTTGTGAAGTGACACTTGTGATTTGTCGTCATGTTCAGAGCCTACTTTTTCCTTCCTGCTTGAGATGAAGAAGTGCTTACTTGTTTTTTTTCTTTTACTTCTTTCATGTACTGTTGATATGTTATGGCACTTTTATGACACTATAAAACACTAAAGTTATGCTTGTGATAGAAATGATAATATTGACTATTTATTAAACAGCTACCTTCTTAGTTTTTAACAGAGAAACAAATGTATGTAGCAAGTCCAAGTAATTTCCCCCAAATTCTATGGCTAGTGAGAGTTTTCTTGTCTACAGGTAATGTCATCGATAGACATATGTAATTATTTGTAATATGAACAAATATTTACATTTATTTTATTTTATATTATAAAGTTTTATGTTATTTTATTTTCTGGAAAATGGATAGTGGATTTGAGAAGGGTTAAATGCTGCCTAGATATCATGTTAGCTGCCCTTGCCATCACTAAGATTCTTTCTGTGCCTAGATAGCCCCATTCGTTTCTCCCACACACTTCACCTGTATTCTTGTCTCTTTGCCATGTCTAAAGACCTAAAAGGGAATCTAGTGATTTAGTGGCTAATTTGCTGAACTGTGCTTTGTGCTTTGTTGGGGGAGGACAGGGGTTAGAGGTAGGCAGATGACAAGGGCCACTTCTGTCCTTTGCCTTTACTGACAGTGGGTAGCAAGTCTTCAGGGTGCAGCAAACTTCCACTTGCTTTGCTTTCTGAAATTCTGCCTCCAGAACATGGGTCCCTCATCATGCAAATCTGTCTGTGATTTTGATGGAGGGAGATAATCTCCATGTTCCTAACTCCATCACTGCCCAGCAAAAAGGCAGCTGGGAAGAGAAAAACAGCTTTGTTTCAGATACAAATAAGTAACAGTTTATTCTTTGCTGATTCTGTGGTGACAACTTTACCATACTTTCCCTCACAATAGAGTATGTGAACAACACAAAAGGCCAATGCTAACAATCATTAATTGAGAGTCTGTAATACTTATTTAAAACAGGTCCTTACCTGTTTAAATCAGGAGGGGAGAAAAGAGAGAACAATACAAAGTGTTAGGAAACTTCCAAATAGCTCCCTTCCCTTCCTCCAAATCAAACTTAGAGTAAAATTTTGCTTCATATGACGTATATGTATACCTATATTTTTAAGCGAGAAATTATTGGTTACTTTTAAAGTGACAAGATAAAATAATTGTTGGTTATAAAATATCTTTATTATTGGCAAGAATTTAGGACTTTTAATCCTGTGGAGATTTCATATTAGAAGGGAGTAATTTGATACAAGATAATAATACATTTATTGCAGTGTGCTTTACAGTTTTCAGGCCATTTTCATATATATTGTGTTATTTAGACATAATGATAGAGAAGGAGGTTAGATGGCTGAGCTGGGTTCGTTAGGTAGTTAATGGTCACACCGGGCTTAAAACCGAGGCTTCCTGATTTTCTGTGCAGCGATGGCCCTGTTGCATACAACCCAGCCTGTCACATACAGGCAGGGATCTGCCAAACTTAGAGTGAATGGTGTGGGATTTTCTGGCATCAGACACTAGGGTATGATTGCCAGTGGGAGTTGATGCTATTTATTAGTCAGGGATAAGAGTTTAGGAATTCTGTTAAGTTTTATTAGTCAAAATCCTAGGCTGATTGTAGGCTTAAACACAGAACCAAAAGTGTCTTCATTGTTAAGAAATTAATGATCAGAAATGTAGACTAGGTACCTGAGTGAAGTGGATGACAGAGTCACCTGCCCCCATGGTGGAGATGCTGGAAGACGTGGTCAACCCGAGAACATGGTGCATGGCGGTGCAGTAGGAATCTGCACACTGGTGCTTGGTGTCTGCCCAGGTGCTGCCTGCCTGCTCATTTACATTTTTAATACATCTCTTTATCATTCCTTTCTCAGGAATATATACTATACTCAGGGCCCATTAATGTTAACGATAGCTTCATTTGCTTCATTTCTAAGAAATAATGCACTTTATATCTTTCAGCTTAAAATGCTCTTTATGGGATTTTAAAATTCTCTGTATTTGTACTTGTTCTTTCTATGCAAGGCAAACTTGGATAGTCTGCAGATCTCCTAGAACTTTTTAACTGAAAGAGAAATGAAACCACTCATTTATTTGCCAGGTACATATGGAATTTGTGCTGCGGAAGTAACTCTGATACTATTTTTTATTTTGTAGAGTGGGAAACCACCCATCAATGATATGTTCACAGACCTCAAAGATGGAAGGAAGCTATTGGATCTTCTAGAAGGCCTCACAGGAACATCACTGGTGAGCATGTCATCTTTGAGAATGAGGCTAAGGGACTGTCTCTGGTCCTTACTGACACTTGATGACTCATTATGGGTACTTGAAATGTGAAAGTTGAAATAGACACATTAAAAAAAAAGTGTTTTAACTAATGCTATTGGTAGAACAATATTTTGGCTTTCATGAGGGCTCTATTTTTTATCTAAGATAAAATTACCTTAAATGTTCATTTCTCTGCAACAGCCCAGGTTGAGAATTATGAAAGAAGAATGGATTTGTAAAGAGGGCATATGTTTTGAACAGTAGAGAGTATAGAGACAAACACATTTAAATGTTGACAAATATTTTTAAAAAATAATTGTTAAAAAATATGGCATCTGTTTTTATCCAAGTTTTCAGTATTATGTATATGTTTCTTTCTTTATCAAATCCAGCTCTATTTACTTTATATGTAAGGTACTTGATACTCGTGGAAAAAACTCTGCTCATGAAGTAGATGTATTTTATGGGTAGACAGTGTAACATTAGAGGTAGAATTACTCTTAACAGTAAAAGAGATGCACTCCTGACAATGAATTTCTTTCTTGCTAAAGGTGGGGTGTTGTACTCTCTCTGCTGCCCTCCAGGTGGTGGGCAGACACCTGTTGGGGAGGCTGATCGCTCCCTCAGATAAGATTCCCTGGCCAGTGAAGTAGAAAGAGGCTGCCCAGGTTACCTTTCCCCAGGCGGGGCATGGCCACCTTCTGAGTGGGCTCTGTTAATGCTACCTGGATCCTGGGCTTAGTGTCTCGGAATCCTCCTTGTCCACCCCCGAGCAGCACAGAGTGGGCACAGCTCCTCTCTCCACGCCCACGCAGTATAGAGGGAGCCCAACTTCTAAAGCTTTCTGCATCCAGACCAATTTAAATAAAAGAAGATTCATCCCTAGAGCATCGGTTTCCAAACTTGTCTGTGCATTAGAATCATGGGTCAATCTTTTAAAAATTCCAAACCCAGACCACGCTCTAGACCCATTCAGTCACAAACTCTGAGAGCATAGTTGGACACAGGCATTTGGTATTTTTTGAAGCTGCCTAGGAGATTCCAATAAGCAGGTACATTAGAGAAGCAGTATCTTATGGTGTTGTCAGTTGATGAATTTGCATACTGTAAACACCGGTCTCTGGGGTGGTCGCCTGAGACAACTGCCAGAGCTGAGGGTCCTGCACACTGAGCTGCTTTTCTCTATATATCTCCGTGTCAGTGTTTGTCAGGCATATGGAGGAATAATCAGTCTTATGTGCTTTTGTGTTTTATTTTCCAGCCAAAGGAACGTGGTTCCACAAGAGTCCATGCCTTAAATAACGTCAACAGAGTGCTTCAGGTTTTACATCAGAATAATGTAAGCTTGGACTGTGAATTTTGGGATTCTGTGTGGCCGTCAGCATTATTTATCGTGAGACCAGCCATCTGCTCGATGCATTGGCATCAACGGATTCTTGAAACATTTGTTCTTTTGAGAAGTATTGAGTCTTTTCTAGGAGTGAAGGAACAGTCATGTGCTTTTTCTGATAGCTTTATTGATCTATTATGTAAATAATACATTTTAGAAATTTAGATTTACCTTATTCTTTAAAATGAAAGCTATCATTCATTTATATTGCTGTCCAAATGTGCTAAAATAAAAACCTGGAGTTCTATGAAGAAATTGTTTTAAAAGTTCTTTTTTTTTTTTTTTTTCATTTTTAATAGGTGGAACTAGTAAATATAGGAGGCACTGACATTGTAGATGGAAACCACAAACTGACTTTGGGATTACTTTGGAGCATCATTTTGCACTGGCAGGTGGGGAAATTTCCAGCCACTCTTCAATAGAAATTGAAAATGTATTGTTTGTGTATTAGTTTCCTAGGGCTGCCATAACAAAGTATTAATACCACAAGTGGCTTGGATTGTTGTGTCATACTTCTAGAGGCTAGACGTTCAAGATAAAGGTGTCAGCAGGCTTGATTCCTTCTGAGGGTTCTGAGGGAGAATCTGTTTCAAGCCTCTCTCCTAGCTTCTGGGGGTTTGCCAGCAATCCTCTGGGTTCCTTGGCCTGTGGCATCATAACTCCAGTGTTCATGTGACAGTCTCCCTCTATGCTTATCTGTGTCCAAGTTTCCTCTTTTTGTAAAGACATCAGTTATATTAGATTTGTGGCCCACACTACCCTTGTGTGAGCTTATCTTAATCAGTTACATCTGCAAAGACCTTATTTCCAAATAAGGCCCTATTCTGGGAGTTAGTATTTCAACATATGAATTTGGGGGAACATAATTCAACTCATAACACTTTGGAATAGAAGAGGCTAACAAATTGCTCTATTTATCTGGCACAGGAAAAAAAAATAACTACTTTTCTTATGTTAAATTTTAAAAATTGTTGTAATTTCAGACTTAAAGAAAAGTTGCAAGAATAGTCCAAAGAATTCCTAAGTACCCTTCATTCACATTCCCCAAATGTTAACAGTTGCCTGTGTTTTTTTTTTCTCACATACTCTCTCTCTCTCTGTACCTAAATACTTCTGTGTATGTTTTCTGAAAACATGGCATTCTCCTAAAAACCAAGAACTGTCTTACATAAGCACAATACAATATTAACAATATAAAATACGTAACTAATATGTATAACACTAATTATTATATGATAATTATCTTATGTACTAAAACATAATTATTAAAATCAGGAAAATAACATTGAAATAATACAATTATATGATCTACAGATCTTAAGGAGAATTTGTCAGTTAGCAAAAGAAAATGTAAGATCATAAGTTACATTTCTTGTCATGTCTATTTAGTCCTCTTTAATCTGGAACAGTTTCTGAGTTTTTGTATTTCATGATACTGATATTTTTGAAGAGTCCTGGCCAATTATTTCATAGATTGTCTCTCCCTGTGGGTTATTTGAGGCTTTTTTCATAATTAGATTCAGGTTATTCATTTCTGGCAGGGATGTCACAAAAGTGATGTGAGTTCTCAGTGTACCATGTTGGTGGCGTGTGTTGTCCACTCGTTTTTCTTCTGGCAGTGTTAACTTTGGTAGCTTAGTTAAGATGGTACCTGCCAGGTTTCTCCACTGTAAAGTAACTACCTTTTGTTCTTAAAAAGGATTTTGTGGGGATAGACTTTGATACTGTGTAAAGATTCAGTTATTATCAAACTTTTATCATTAGTTTTATTAATAGCATCCATTCATTATTCTTACCTGGATTAGTTATTACTTGCTTGGCAAATAGTGATTTTCTAATTTCACCATTCCTTCTACCTTTATTACAAAGCTTTCTAACTGTAAGGAAGAGCCTCCCTTGTCTCTTGTTTCTCTATCTTGTCCGTCTATTATCTATCTGTCTGTCTGTCTATCTATCCATCCATCCATTCATTCATTTATATATCAGTGTAGACTCATGGATTTGTATAGGTTTATAGTGTTTTCCTGTTCCCACTCACTTGGATGCTCAAGTTTTCCTAGATTTGGCCAGTGTGAGCTTCTTAAGTTGGCTTCTCTGTCCTTTTAATATGTCCACATCATTATTTGAGCACTTTCTTAAAGCCTATGTACCACTTTATAATAATAATATAAATATTAGTTCTAGAGTATAACTCTTATTGCTATCAGGAAAGGTACTTCCTTCTTCGATTTTGTAGTAAGTCAGAATTTCTTCCTTTCTTCCTTATTTTTGTAGAAAATAAATATTGGGTTTTCTTCATTTTAAAGTGTTTTTGTGACTATGAAGGTAATGTTCATTTAAACCAAGCACAGTTACACATACTGTTTAGGACCTAGAAGATACACAGTAATATATTAAAGTGAGGTAAAAATCACCTCTAAATCCTAATACCTGAAATGATCACAGTTAGAATCTATGTTTCTGGTGTTTAAGGGAAAAAATTTGAAATAAAATGAATGCCGGTTACTTGATCCATTATGGTTAATTAGTGTAACATTCCTTATTCCAGGACTTGATAGAAATACCTGTGTTAGTTACAGGCAGGTCTGGTTTCTCTCAAACAGGTAAAAGATGTCATGAAGGACGTCATGTCGGACCTGCAGCAGACGAACAGCGAGAAGATCCTGCTGAGCTGGGTGCGCCAGACCACCAGGCCGTACAGCCAAGTCAACGTGCTCAACTTCACCACCAGCTGGACGGACGGGCTGGCCTTTAATGCCGTGCTCCACCGCCATAAGTGAGACTTCGCTCCGCTCGCTTAGATGTGGGCTCTACAAATTTGTGTCTCCTCTCTGTCCCTCCCCTGCGACCACTCCCTGAAGCCCCTTCCTCACTGTCACTGCTCTCCTCTCTGCACTTGCTCTACAAAAACCTTCAGAAAAGAAACACCATGGAAGAACACTAGCCATCAAGTCTTTCTTTCCACAGGATTTAAATGCCACGGTGCAATGTCCATGGTTTATAAGTTTAAAAATTTATAAGTTAAAAAATGTGAAATAATTCATATAATTCAGTCCCATCCATTTAGAAATATTAATAGTAATGTATACAAAGAATTGCATAAGCTTTTAGTCTCATACCAAAAGTAAAACTCTATAAATTCAATTAAAAATAGCTAAATGAACTCTATAAATTCAATTAAAAATAGCCAAATAGGTTTTTCAGGAAAACAGATGCTAATTATTTAAAACACCAAAGGTCCAAGAATAATAGCCAGTACACTTATGAAGAAGAACCAGACTGAAATACTTTCTAAAAAGAAACCAAAACTAACTATGGAGCTATATTAAGTAAGACTATGCAGTACTATAAATGAATACACTAATATAATAATAATAAGTTCAATCATATGAAATTGCCAATGCCTGACTGTTTTTGATGTTTATCAATGGCAGTTGCAGATAGTTCAGCCTAACAGAATAAAGAGCTCAGAAATTGCTCCATTACGTGGGAAACCTGATATACAAGTGAGCTGATATTGCAGATTAATTGATGGTATGGGACAATTTGTTTCCCATGTGTAAATAAGTGCACTGGAACTTCACCTTACCATACTCAAAAAATAAATTCTATGTGGATCAAAAATTTAAATGTGAAAGGCAAAATTTGTTATGTTTTATTGTTATTATAAATGATTAATTTTCTCAAGTTTCATCTCCTGTATGTTCTTTGCTTGTCTCTGAAAATACAATAGACTTGTCTACATCATATCTAGAAACTTACTCAATTCTTACAAATTTTAATAAGTTTGTTTCTGTGGATTGTGGCTTTTTTTTTTAACCTCTCCCCCCAACTCCCCTTGCCTTTTTAGAATGTCTAGGAATTATGATTATTTGATTTCTTCTCTTTTCTTTTTTGTTCTTCATTGTGCCTGGTCCTTCAATGCAATGTTGATTTGAATTGGTGATAGCTGAATATTTTGTTCTTGATAACAAAGGGAGTGCTTTTAATGTTTTACCATAGGAATGTTTGTTGTGGCTTTTTTGATCTGCTTTTTATGAGGTTAAAGAATCCCTCCCAATCTTCTCCTAATCCTCCTTTATCAGTTTAAGGAGGTTGCTCTCTGTTCCTACTTGGTTAAGAGATTTTCATCAAGAAACTGGTGAATTTTAGCCAACATTTTTTTCCATTTATTAATTGATAGAACAAATATATGTAGGGTGCTGTTAGACACAGGGTATACAGCAGAGAACAAAACAGGCAAAAATCGTAATTTTTTTGGAGCTTATGTTCCAACAGAGGGAGACGGACAATAATAAAAATACATGAAAATGTAAGTTGTATAATGTATAGAAATGGTAAACATGCTGAAGAAAAATTCATCAGGCAAGAGGGGAGGAGGATGGGCTGCAGTGACCTGAATGGAGAAGTGATAGGAGATGAAGTCAGAGAGGGAACTAGGAGAAAGAGGGTTGGCAGAAGCAAATCCCAGAAGGTGAGTGGGTCTAAGATTGAAGAAGAGACGGAAGGGAAAGAAAATGATTAGCTTTTGGGCATGTCAAAGCAATAATAATGTCTAATTTGTGAGCTTAAAAGAAAATCAAGATAGAAATGAAATACAGTACCAAACAGTGGTAACATGGAGGGGAACAATTGGTGGGAAACTCTCAGGGCCTTTGTTTTAGGAATATTCTGTGAACAGATTAGAGCTGCATTTTCTATTCTGCTAACCTTGATCTTTTAATTGGAGGATGTGGTCCATTAGCTTTGATTGTCATAGGTGGTTCATAAATGTATTTAGGTTCATTTTTACTACTTAGTTTGAGTTTCTTATTTCTCTTACTTTTTCTATATCTTTTCTTTCTTGTCTTCTTTTGTATTGATAAGGTTCTCCCTGTCCTTTTTCTCTTTTACTCTTTGGGAAATATTATATAATCTTTCTAGTCTTAGCGGTTATACCAGAAATTAACCATTAACCAACCAGGCATATTTAACCAATACAAAATCCTAAGAATGTGTTATCTTTTATTTTCATATTTATAAATTACTTTCAAATATTGTATATTTGACAAGCTTTCAGGATATAAGAATAAACTTTAAAAAAACTCACAAATAAAAAAATCTAAAACTAAAATGTATTAGATGGTAATGTATTAGATTGTATTGAAATTACAATTGTAATTGTATTGAAATTACAATTGTAATTGTACAATTGTATTGAAATTACAAATTAGATTGAAATGTATTAGATTGCCTACTTTGTTTCCACATATTTCATCTTCATTGCATTTTGTTTACATGGTGATTTCAGACCTGATCTCTTCAGCTGGGATAAAGTTGTCAAAATGTCCCCAATAGAGAGACTTGAACATGCCTTCAGCAAGGCTCAGACTTACTTGGGAATTGAAAAGCTGTTAGATCCTGAAGGTATTGTTCAATGTTTAATTTCAACCTTGACTTTACTGGACAATTTTTAACACTTGAAGAGCAGTGTTTTTTTTTTTTTTCTTCTAAGAATGCGCTATGAGACTTTAGGAAGCTTTTTCCTTTTTAAGTATAGGTATAAGCCATTTTATTGCAGATTAGTTATCAGTATTTTTGTATTTAGCAATTTGTAGTATCCTTTGGGTAGACATTTAATTATAGCACTGGATAAACAGTTAATCTAAATAAATTAAGATTTAACATTTTAAGAAAATATAGTTATTAGATAAACAATTGGATATTTTGTTTAGTTGATTAAAATGCATTCTTGTGTAAACACTTTAGTTGCAAATGTTGCAGGGTTGAACTCTAGACTTGTTTTCTTAGTATGAATAACATCTGTGTCTTTATCTTAAATTGTAACATATGGTAGCTTATCTTTGAGCATTTTGGGGAGTCTTTTAGGGATGATTTTTAAAAAATGGGATACTGAACAAAAATAAGTCTTTGTCTCATACGTAAAATAGCAATTTAGTGAGCTATGGTATTGCAAAGATTATATATTAAGTATTGTTTATGGGTACTAAGGGTTATTTTATATCTAATATTGGGCAGTTCACCTATTTCGGACATCTAATTTAAGCTAGTTCTTATATTCTTCCACTTTTAGATGTTGCTGTTCAGCTTCCTGACAAGAAATCCATAATTATGTATTTAACGTCTCTGTTTGAGGTGCTACCTCAGCAAGTCACTATAGATGCCATCCGTGAGGTAGAGACACTCCCAAGGAAATACAAGAAAGAATGTGAAGAAGAAGAAATTAATATACAGGTACAAATTTTTCTTAAAATGTTTGGCTTGCCATATTTGTTTTTCTCATAGGTAATAGTTAAAAACACTTTCAGAGAGTTTTTTTCTTGACTGAGAACATCTTGGTTTCTTAGCTTAAATTTGCATAAGTTCACTTTATCAGTTAGCATGCTGTCTATCACGTGTATGTAATAGAAAAGCGTAACTCAACCAACTTTATTGTAAAGGAAGATATATTATTTCACAAAACAAAGCTGGAGTTAGGGTCTAGGGCTGTTGAATGATGGAGGTCCATGACATGCTAATAATACTCCATGTTTTTCCATCTACTGATCACTATCTTTTTTTTTTTTTTTTTTTTTTTGACAGAGTCTCGCTTTGTTGTCCAGGCTAGAGTGAGTGCCATGGCGTCAGCCTAGCTCACAGCAACCTCAAACTCCTGGGCTCAAGCAATCCTTCTGCCTCAGCCTCCCGAGTAGCTGGGACTACAGGCATGAGCCACCATGCCCGGCTAATTTTTTATATATATATATCAGTTGGCCAATTAGTTTCTTTCTATTTATAGTAGAGACGGGGTCTCGCTCTTGCTCAGGCTGGTTTTGAACTCCTGACCTTGAGCAATCCACTCGCCTCGGCCTCCCAAGAGCTAGGATTACAGGTGTGAGCCACCTCGCCCGGCCCTGATCACTATCTTGTATCCTTGCTGTTGTATGCTGAAGATGGTTTTCCTCATATCAGCTAAGTTCTTTTCTAAGTGCTAATTTTCTTTCTTTTTTTTTTTTTGGCCATAAAAAAGGAATTTTTTTCCATTATACTCTCACAAGGACTATCAAAATACAAGGTTTATTTTCCCTTTCATTTAGGAGGAATAATCTATAGTAAGCTACTTGGCAAGTTTGGCATGAAAGGGCTTACAGTGGTTTTATTCACAAATGAGGTTTTATGCTTTAGTAGATATAAATAAAATCATAATTTATTTTCTTTCTTAATTATCCTGTTTTGAATCAATCCGTATTTTACCTCATCCTGTCTTAGCCCAACCAGTCCTCTTTATTTATAAAACAAGAGAATATTAAGAGTTGGATGAGACCTTAGAGGTCATTTGGCTCAACAATTCAGTAACCAAGCAACCAAGAGGTAGACATGGATTTCAAAATTATAAGGATATATATTTCAGAGTGGCAGAAAGCTTGGGCTCTGCAGCTAAAGTTTTATCTTGTTGCTACTTGTTTGGGATGGGTGACTTAATCTCTCAACCACAGTTTTGTCTGTGAAATGAGCTTAAAGCTACCTACTTCATAAAGATAATGAATTCGAAGTGTCTAAAATGATATTAATAAGCATTCCATAAGCAGCAGCTATCATTATTATAATTTTTCCTCTCAATTTGTTTTGGCATTCTTATTCAACAAGTTTATTTTTAAAAATATTCTTTAATTCTCATACAGTAATAATAGTCTTGAGTTGACATAGCATCATCTTTTTTCCTCTGCTGGGATTCAGAGAACTTAGTTATTATTTTAAATTTTCTTGGGGTAGTATGTACCATCCTTTTATTTTTTTCCATTTCAGAAATAGCATGATTTATAGAGAAAGAAAAAAAAAGCACTTGTTGAGGAAAAGAGGGTGAGAGAGGGAGCTTGATTGTGAACCTACGGCTGTTTTTAGTAGTTTTGAAAATCAAGTGATGCTGAGGAAAAGCCCTAACTTCTTATAACTGACTGAAAATATGCTGGGAAGCATTTGCCTCTAGCAGTGTCGTTATTCTGCATCAATGATGTGCCTTTTTAGGTGGCTCAGATAATCTGGGTTTGTCTCTTGGTTTTAGAATAATTTCTTTATTGGACGGAGATTCCTGTTGTTGGAAAGATAGGATATTTCAGCTGGGCACAGTGCCTCAGGCCTGTAATGCTGGCACTCTGGAAGGCCAAGGCGGGAGGATCTCTTGAGGTCAGGAGTTCAAGACCAGCCTCGTCTCTACTAAAAATAGAAAAAGTTAGCTGGGCAAGGTGGCACATGCCTCCTGAGTAGTCTCAGCTACTCGGGAGGCTGAAGCAGGAGGATTGCTTGAGCTCAGGAGTTTGACGTTCCTGTGAGCTAGGCTGATGCCATGTCACTCTAGCCCAGAGAACAGAGGGAGACTCTGTCTCAAAAAAAAGAAAGATAAGGATATTTTAATTCTTATAGTTAAGACCATTCTCTCTTAAAAAGGAGACTTTCATTTGCCTTTCATAATATATAGATAAAATTATCACTTCTGTTTAGGGTTCATGGTGGCATGATAAGAATTGCAGAAACCATTTGCTGTTTGATTAAGTGCAAATGTATTAACACTAACCTCTTTATTTGGATGCTTTCATTAGTGCCTTAGAGGCTGAATTACGTTAATTGAGAAATAAAATGTGATTAAGTTTTAATCATCTACCCTCTGCCATAGCTTGCCATCTAGCACTCTCCAGTGCATGCTAATAGTCAGACTTTCTCTCCTGCTCTGTTATTTCTCCAAACATATGCTAGTGGCCAGCAAATATTATGTAATAATTCCTGCATTTCTATTTAAATATCTGTCAGTTGAAAGTCTCCTCATGTGTTTTAATTAATACCTTCTGCACATTTGCATTTAGACAAAGCCTTCCGTCTCCCACCTGATAGATGCTGGTGTCTATCTAAGTGGCTTTTGCTGGTCCCTAACTTTTCTGGTTCTTCGAAATCCTCATTGTACTATAGAGGTTTGGTACTAAATGATCTCCAGGGTTATTTTAGCTCTGCAGTTTTAGGAATTTAAGTCTAAAAGTTAGCTCATTTCCTCTCTGTCTTTGTCACCATCTATTTCTTCATTATTCACTGTTTCAACTCTGCTCATTTTTGAAGTCCTGTATTCAGTTTACTGGATTCATTTGATTCTTCCTCTTGAATGTCTTTTTTGTGTGTTTTCTTTCTGTTCCAGCCTCATATTAATTAAAGACCTCATCTTTTGTAGTTTCCAAGACCCACCCTACTTCCTCACTGTAGTCAGAGTGGACTTTTTCTCCTTTTCCCGCCAAGATTCTTGTGCATACAGTTTCCACTCTCTGAAATGTTCCTCCATTAACTCCAAGCTGCCTATTTTTCCTCAGTTTCAACGGAAGCTTTTCAGAGAAGTCTTCTCTGATGAACCTATCAAAATATGACACCACACGCATACTCTCTCTCTGTTTCTTGCTACCAAACTATTTTTGTAAACTCTGTTAAGAATTTTAAATTATATCCTTTTTTTTTTTTTTTTGAGACAGAGTCTCACTCTGTTGCCCAGGCTAGCGTGCCGTGGTGTGGTGTCAGCCTAGCTCACAGCAACCTCAAACTCCTGGGCTCAGGTGATCCTCTTGCCTCAGCCTCCTGAGTAGCTGGGACTACAGGCATACACCACCATGCCCGGCTAATTTTTTCTATATATTTTTAGTTGTCCAGCTAATTTCTTTCTATTTTTAGTAGAGACGGGGTCTCGCTCTTGCTCAGGCTGGTTTTGAACTCCTGAGCTCAAATAATCTTCCTGCCTCGGCCTCCCGGAGTGCCCTAGGATTATAGGTGTGAGCCACCACACCCGGCCTTAAATTATATCTTAAGAGTATTGGGAAAGCCACTGAAACGTTTTAAGCAGGAGAGTGTTACGATGTGATTACATTTTTGAAAGTTCATCCTGGCTGTTGTGTGAGAAATGGATTGTGGAGGTGGGAGTACGGGGGTTGGGGATGGGGGGAGCAAACGGGAAAGCAGAGACTCCTGTTAGCAGGCTGTCACAGTCCAGAGGAGAGACTTAGATGGCTGTGGGATGGAAAGGTCTTGATGGATTTGAGATAAGTTTTGAATTATCTGGCTCCCAGGTTTTAGCTGGAGTAATTAGGTGCATGGAGAAGCCATCTGCTAAGATGAGGAAGCCTGAGAAGGAACATGTTCTGGAAAAAAACGAAGGGTTTAAATATGGACATGGTTTGAGATACCTATGAGACAATGAAGTGGAGATGCTAAGGTAGTGGGATACAGGAGTTGGGACTTCAGGCTCCTAGTGGGTATAGATGGTTCTTTGAAGCCAATGGGAGAAGATGAGATTGCTCAGGCAAAGAATACAGAGGGAAGAAAAAAGAACCCAGGGCTTAATTTTGAGGAGATTCATTACTCACAGGTCAGCAGCTGCTGTTGAACCAGCAGAAGACCAGTGTGGTGTTGCTGTAGCAGGGAAAGCAGAGCTGTAAGAGACTGGGGAGTGGTCAGGCATGTGGGGTGCTGCTGAGGGCTGAAGTGGGGTTACCAGCTCTTGGGGTTTGCTTGGAACAGTTCTAGTTTGTGTTTGTAGTTCTAGCACAGTTATTACCCAAAGCATTCTACTATCTGATATTTTGATTTATTATTTGGTCACCCCATAGAGGATGCTGGAAGTGTAGATTTGGCAAGGGGAAGGTTATTGGTGATATTGGCAGAAGCCTTTCTGGTTGAGTGGTGGGGCAAATGCAAGTCAGGGTGAAAGGGAATGCTAACATTTCTTGTATTGTTTTAAGTACATTTCTGTACGTTTGAAATAGTCTATTTAAAAATTGTGGATGAGAAGTGATAAAGTAGAGATAAGATATAGGCAGGTTTTAAAAAGTCTGTGTCTCAAAGGGAACAAAGGAACCAGAGAGAGACGGTCGATTTGGTTATAAGATCTTGAAGTTTATAAGGAAATACTCAGTTGCTTAGAAAGAGCTTGAGAGAAATTTATCCCATGAGCATTAAAACAAACAACCAAACAAAAAAGGCCAAGTAAACCAGAGAGCAATTGCCTCAAAAAAAATACACTCAGTACAACAGTCTGTTTGTGTGGCTGTCTTTTAGTATCTAAAAATGCAAGGCTAAATTGCAGTTCAATAAAAGCAATTTAACTAGGGGTCAAAGCAGAGTTCTAATCTTTCTCTCTTTTTCCTTAAATTACATCCATCCTTGAAGGCCCCACACGTTGCAGTTCCTCTAGGAAACTTTGCTATCCGTTTTAGCCCTTGGTGAACTCAAATGTCATTCCTTGTTGGGACCATGGCATTTATCATGGTACTAATAACCATTTTATTTTTGCTCAGAAGTGATTCATTGGGTTCTTTCTCTCTTTCCAACGGTGTCAGACTCTCCTTGAGTACAGAACTCATGAGTACATACCGCTTTTGTACTCTTTGCCATTCTAGCACAGTGAATAAATGCTTTCTGACTAATTCGTGGCATTGCTCATCTGACTCCGAGAAGGAGTTGGATTAATGCCTAACACACGGTGGTATCTACCTTAGGTTCTCTGTATAGTGTGTGCTTGTCTTCATGGTAATTGTAGGTTTTTCTTGGCTTTGTTTTTATAGAGCACAGCTCCCGAGGAGGAACGTGGGAGTCCCAGAGCTGAAACCCCCAGCACTGTCACCGAGGTGGACATGGATCTGGACAGTTATCAGATAGCGCTGGAGGAAGTGCTGACCTGGCTGCTTTCTGCCGAGGACACTTTCCAGGAGCAAGATGACATTTCTGATGATGTTGAAGAAGTCAAAGACCAGTTTGCAACCCATGAAGTAAGTATCTGTAGTTGCTGAAAAGGGTGTATCTGCCCTGAGGTTTGTGCCTTAATCAGGGGCTCTTCCCTGGTGTTTGTTGTTTACTGAGTTCTGCTCTATGCAAAGGTCATGGCTTGTTTCAGGACTTGTGATAGGACTTTGTTATAAAATTGATGTGGGTGATTAACTGCATCAGAATTTGATTTCAAATTTTAATCTTGTTGTAACTTGTATATTTTATAGAACCACTGTCGAAAAGCAGTGCACAGTAATGCTCATTTCTGAAGTGTATTGTTATAGTGAAAAACAACATGGCAAAGCAATACAACAAATCTTTAGGTTTTGAATTTTCCCCAGAAAGTTATTAATGTTTTTAATTGCATGATTAAGCAAATGTCCAACCGTGTTCCTGTACAATTTTGTTTATTTTGAGACAAGGTCTCACTCTGTTACCTTAGCTGGAGTGCAGTGGAATCATCATAGCTCAAACTCCTGGGCTCAAGTGATTCTCCTGCCTCAGCCTTCCGAATAACTGGGACTACAGGTGTGCACCATCACGCCTGGCTAATTTTTCTATTTTTTGTAGACATGGGGTCTTGCTCTTGCTCAGGCTGGTCTCCAACTCCTAGCCTTAGGCAATCTTCCCACCTTGGGCTCCCAAAGTGCTGAGATTACAGGTGTGAGTCACTGCACCTGCTCCAAAGTCTACTTTATTTGTTCTCTACTAGGCTACCTTTTTCTGCAGCATTGATATTTAGACTAGGGATTAGTAATTAATTATTATTATTTTTTGCCATGAGTAGCTCACAAATCATAATGATGTACCTTTCTAGGCTTTTATGATGGAGCTAACTGCACACCAGAGCAGCGTGGGAAGCGTCCTGCAGGCGGGTAACCAGCTGATAACACAAGGGACTCTGTCAGATGAAGAGGAGTTTGAAATTCAGGAACAAATGACCCTGCTGAATGCTAGATGGGAAGCGCTTAGGGTGGAGAGTATGGACAGACAGTCTCGGTGAGTGGAAGGCCATGACGTTGACACTTTCTTCCATAGGCTACGTTACACACTTTAGGTCAAGTACAAGTCCACAAGTCTGTGAAAACAAGATCATTACAGAACTTGCCTCGTAAAAGTTAGACTCTTTCTTATTTTGCACTGTTCCTGGAATTTTGCATGACCTTTGTTTTCCCTTGGATGTGTTAGCCAAACCAAAAGATAAAAGTTGGAATATAGAACTTAGCAAAAAAGGAGAAAACAGTTCATATGGACAGTTAACTATTTGCAGTGTTAAAATCCACTAACCATTAACTCAGCATGAAAACAGGACTACATAGTATCTATCTGCCATTCCATTTTGTACCATTTTTTTTTTTTTAGAGCTTTCTCATGGCCCATTTTATTTCAGTATTGTGTACTAAGGAGCAAACTGCATTCCATTGCCATTTCCACCTATTTAATAAGCAGGAATTCCTGATTGAAGAAACAATGATTCTGATACGAATACCGGGTGCTGTTACTTGCATTCTTTGACTACACTTAATGGACTTCATTTAGGAAGAAAATAAAAGTTTTTCCCACCCTGGTTTCTATGTTTGAAGACTAAACGCTGCTTTCAGTGTGTAGACAAGGGTGTGTTCCCTTGCCCCATATCTCTGGTGCCTGGAGTATGTGTTTACCTTTGCAAGGGGAAAAGCTCGTGGGAATAACCCTGTGCTCTCCATGGACAGGTTGCACGACGTGCTGATGGAACTGCAGAAGCTGCAGCTGCAGCAGCTCTCTGCCTGGTTAACACTCACGGAGGAACGCATTCAGAAGATGGAAACTTGCCCCCTGGATGATGATTTAAATGCCCTGCAAAAGCTGCTAGAAGAACATAAAGTAAATCTCTCATGTTTTTTTTATACCTTATCAAATATGAAAGAGCAGCACTTAGCATTGTCAGAGGCCGATGACTTGTATCATTAGCACGGAGGTGGGACACTTCTTCAGTGCTCTGTTTGTTCAGAAGCTCATAGGGTTGCGTTCCTGGGGATATGACTTTTCTGAGCCAGGAATGAAAGCGCAGGTAAAATTTTATATGGGAACGGGCAGGTTTCTTATGAAGGTACATCGCTTTCATAGGGTTTGAGAAGGGTTTTTTTTTTGGACCCATAAGAGAACACACGTGTGGCTGAGAACACGCGCGTGTTGGCGTGAGTGCAGTGTGTAGGTGAAGAAGGAAACCCTGAGAGGTGGCTGTACCTAATCCTTTAAGGAAAGCTGTTGCTTCTTCTCTGGTCCAGGAAAGCATCAAGCACTAGGCGAGGAACCAAAATTTGGTGGACAATTTAATTTAGTCACAACTTTAGGGGAGAACTTTTCATAGTGGAGATCAGTAAAGGTAGAGTGAAATATTCTGTCTGCAAAGTGTTTGAGGAATTTTATTCATCAAGGAAACAGACAGACACATAACAAAGCTTTAAAGGTAACATTAAGTAGAACTCTGAGAGCCAGGCATCTGACACTATTGATGGTGTTTAAATAAATTACCTATATACATATGTCTAATGACTATGCTCTTCCCATGGAAAGGGTGAGGATGGAAATGTCCAAATTGCTTTCTTGGGTAGCAAATCAGAGTAACTTCTGACTATCATGTAACATTTTCCTTGTCTCTTACTTTATGCCACACTGCACTAGATAAAATGATCTCTGACTCTATATTTAAGCTCTGGACTTTTTTGCTTTACCAATTCTATATTTTTGTCATAATTCCTGGTATAGACACTCAACTCTTTTATGCAAAAAAATAATTATTTTTTGCCAGAACGTGAAATAAAAGCGATGATATTTCCCATATTCAATCTGTTATGACATTGCGTTTTCAAACTGCCTTGGTTCATAATGAAATGTAAAGATGTATAATGGGCTTGTTTCATTAGTAGAACACTCAGGGTAATGATGGGAAATTTGAATACGATGCCTCATTGAGTGTCCTTAATTACTATTGACAACCGAGTACGTTTTAAATAGGTAAATGTGAAAGAGTGGAAATAATGGTTTATCTTAATTTTTTCTCTAGAGTTTGCAAAATGATCTTGAGGCTGAACAGGTGAAAGTGAATTCATTAACTCACATGGTGGTAATTGTGGATGAAAACAGTGGTGAGAGTGCTACAGCTGTTCTAGAAGATCAGTTACAGGTAAGGACCCTGTAAAGTAAGGTAATCCTGAAGGACCTGTGGTCTGAGACCCAAGCATGTGTTGCCCCATCCTTCACGGCCTCATTGTTTATCCACAAGGGTAGAGAAGTCCACTTTTGGTTGTACTTCCCAGTTAGGGTTCCACAGTGTCTGGGTTTCAGGAGTTCCCATGTATTGATTCCTTTACTGCAGCCCTTGAGGGGAATGTGGAGGTCTGGTCATGATCCCCAGCTTCCTTGTGCATAACGTTAACACAATTGGGAAGCACGGGAACTGATCTCAGCAAGTAGCCTATGAACCTCTTGGTTAGAATCACTTGAGGAGTTTGTTAAAAATGTAGATTCTTCCTAGGCTCTACGCACACCTGCATCTGGGTGGAGGAGGGGATAGTGAATCTGCATGGTGAAAAACAAAGGTGTGTGTATACAAAAATTTGAGAATTCCAGTTTGTAGGCTTGTAGGCTTGTATCTCGGTGTCTTTGGTAGATTACTGTGTGATTTTCAACAACAGTTTTGGAAACCTCGACACATTGCTTCTTTTTGCACAAAGGCAATAATGTATCTTTACAATTCTTTGTGAAGAAATTTATTGGTATTTCTTTTTGAACAATACCTAATAAGATGTTTCCAATTTATGACTTCTAGACTATAATTTCATCACGTCAAGTCCTTTTTTCTTTTGTAAAGAAAAAGTTCTGAGACTTCAGTGTACTAATATTTAATTATTACAGTAATCTGAGAGGTAGGTCCATGTCTTGACTATTTAGCGGGAGGAAACTGCAATTCAGGGAGTATAAGTGATGCCCCAGAGATTTAAATAGACAAGGAGTGGCTATGCTGAGACTAGAGAGACCTTTCTTCTGGCTCTAAGTTCTCTATCTCTTGCACCCTTAAAAGCTTACTCTGGTATTAAATATCAAAATGGTATAATATGAATTAAATAATTCTTGTTCACATGTAAGTAGTATAGAGATAAATTTTAACATTTGTTTGATATTACTTATAAAATGATAGTAAAATAATTTTCAGGTAAAATCATTGTAAAGAATGATGTTTTTAAAAATTAGTTAATCAAATTTATTTATTTAGTATTTTTAATACTCATAATATTCTTTTGTTAATTTATGGAGAATTTTCTGTAGAAATTTTCATGTAATATAAACAGAACAAATCAACTAAGCACTTTACTGTTTTTTAGAAATTCTCTTATTCAAAAATGTAGTTTTTATAAATTTAAACATTTTTCTTAATTTTGGTACTATAGATGAACATTTCTTGGTATGTAAAGATGGTTAAGAAATATAATTGATGCACTAATTTTTTTTTTTTTTAGATAATTATAGCCTAGAAAATAGATATGTAGATATATGTAAAAACATCAAATTCTCATATAAAAACCACAATGAAATGGAAAGTGTAGGGATTTGGAGTCAAAGATATAGGGTAGAGTTTTGGTTGTACCACTTTCTAGTGTCATGAAATAATCTGTTAAATTCTATACGGATTAGTTTTTCTCATTGGTACATATGTTATTTTAAAGCAACTTTTTAAAAAATATTTTTATAAATAGCTATTCTGTAATAAAGAACAATGGAAATCACAGATTTCTGTAATGATTGTGATAACTCTCTTTGAAGGCCGTGCTGACTCAGGGTGGTGTTTTCCTTTCGTAGAAACTTGGGGAGCGCTGGACGGCGGTGTGCCGTTGGACTGAAGAACGCTGGAACAGATTACAGGAAATCAACATATTGTGGCAGGAATTATTGGAAGAACAGGTATGAAACACTTATCTAGAAGAGGCGAAACAAATAGTGAAAAGCAAACCCACCTTTTATTACGGCATTAGAATACAGTTACCTTCTTTAGTTTTCTTTGAAAGGAAAATATACAAATAATTACTATTTTAAAAATCAGATTCCTGTCCATTTTATCATGCAGCATATTTATAGAGATCATATCATATGACTCCATTGTAATGACAATTTGATTTGTATTTATCGTTCAGAATGTTAGTACTTAGATATCATGATTTGTTTGACATTACAATTATTATTGGATTCACGTTAGGTAATGTGTATGAATTTGTATCAGCACAATTCCTACCATATGGTTTACGTTCAGTAAATAATGTATAAATGAAACCACTTAGTGCATGGTGAACTTTAAAATCACGAGAATTTTTCTTGATTTTTTTAAATCCGGGATAAGTACTGAAATTAATGAGAAAATGTTATTTGGCAACACCTTTGATTGAGTGCTTAGTTAAGAGTATATTTTTACCACCAAGGATTACTACAGCAAATAAACTGATGGGGTGAAGCTTCCACCTTAATTTTTCCATCAGAGTGGTGGCCCTTCGCCCATATTATGTCCTTCCAGAAAAACAACCAACATAACAAAATACAAATAAGCAAAACTCTTATCCCAAAATGCCAAACAGTTGTGGTTTAGAAAATAAGCAGATACTATATTCCCACATCTCCCAGTGTCCATTTTGATTCTTTTAAATACATTTCATTTCCCTCCACAAAAAGGAACTATATTGTCTTCAGGGGGAATAAAACCCCAAGCGTATGATGTTTTGTGGTTCACTAAATATGGTGGCACATAGTACATCTTAAAAAGTAGGTTGCAAAATTTGTCCAAATATAAATTGTTAATCACTACTCCCCCTTCTCAATCTTTGGTCACAATTTTCTTATTAAGAATCACATGATGGGCTTGATTCTGATTTCTGATATATTTACGTTTCACTTTACAAAGATTTAAATGTAGTTGGAATCTTGTGTTCATGGCCAAATGATCTCATGGAATAGTTAAAATTTTACTTTGGTAATAACAACAGGAGACATTGATTGCCAGAGACAACCATTGTGTTATCCTTCTACCCAGTAAAATAATTTAAAATTTGGAAATGGCTTTACTTTGATAATTTAAAAATATGTTAAAAAAAGAGGAAATGGCTAGTATTTTGGTCACTTGTATTAGGTTTTAAACTGACCTTTGAGTCATGTTCTATTAGTGATCTGACATTTTGACTGTATCTTTCTTGTGTGTGTATGTGGTGTTTGTACTTTCTATCTTGTGCCATAGTTATTTATGTGCATATCTTATCAGTCGTACCAAATTGAAGACAGGATCCATATTGGTCTTTTAGTTTCCTAATCTTCATTTCTTTTTCTTTGGTGGAATATAGGGGTGAGAAATAGTTGTTAAATAAATTGATCAATAAAACAAGTGAGAAAAAAATCTATCCCATTGCAAAAACAGAACCAAGTTTTTTTTCCTCCCAGCTAAATAGAAAAGTGTTTGTGTGATAGATGCTACATTTTGGGAAGAAATATCTTGATGCTGCCAGAGTTGTTTTCCATCTCTCCTTCAGGGTTATCTCTCTACATTATTAAATATATTTTGCTTAAAAAAGATATGTTGGGCCGGCTGCGGCCTAGCACTCTGGGAGGCCAAGGTGGGTGGATTGCTCAAGGTCAGGAGTTCGAGACCAGCCTGACCAAGAGCGAGAACCCATCTCTACTAAAAATAGAAAGAAATTAGCTGGACAGCTAAAAACATATAGAAAAATTAGGTGAGCATGGTGGCGCATGCCTGTAGTCCCAGCTACTTGGGAGGCTGAGGCAGGAGGATCGCTTGAGCCCAGGAGTTTGAGGTTGCTAGGAGCTAGGCTGACACGATTCTAGTCTAGGCAACAGAGTGAGACTCTGTCTCAAAAAAAAAAAAGTGTTGATGCCAGTGAAGTTAACTGTACATTGGCCTTGGGCCATCCTCAGACTTCCTTTTTTAATCATAATTGCTATTGAACCTTGACCATCAGTGGGGCTTTCCTGCATGATGCTGTGGAAAGACCATTGGTTTTGGGGTGGGTCCTTGATCCTGCTCTGCCATTAACCAGCCAGGTGATCTTGGGCATGTAACTTAACTCTTCTCTCCTTCCTCTTAAGTCAAGGATGTGGAACAAGACAATGTCTGAGCTTCCTTCTGCCTCTAGAGAGTTACAATGTCGTTTATTTGGAGACTTTTGGATAGTTGGATTTACCCTTTCTCCTCCACCAACCTCTTGAGAATTAGGTTTGATTAACCAGGTGTGGGGTAATATCAGGTTAATCTGTTGCAGATATGAGATGGATAATATTTTAAAGAAAGGTGTCTTTGTGGATTATTTGTGCATCAGACTTAGGTATTTGAGGTCTTTCTCCCCCCCCCCCCCAATTAGGGTGAAGCCTCTAATAAAAAAATAGTTAGAGATTTGGAAAGTTGATTGAATTGAATTAACAAATGATGCTGCAGATATATTTTCAACTTTTTGTTATGACTTGTAGTGCTTGTTAAAGGCTTGGTTAACCGAAAAAGAAGAGGCTTTAAATAAAGTCCAGACAAGCAACTTCAAAGACCAAAAGGAACTAAGTGTCAGCGTTCGACGTCTGGCTGTAAGTAAAAGTAATGCCGTTGTCAGCATTTGTGTTGTAAGCCTATGATATCTTAGTGTTTTATATCAATGGTTAATACAATTTAGTGAACACAGATAATGGCTCATTACCCAATACCAGACTGCTGCCATGCAATGATTTGGAGGCTGGAATCTTATGTTTAGCGCAGTGAACTGCATAACATGTAGATTGAATTATAAAATATACATGTTTACATTTCTTGGATGGGGACCAGGAAGATAAAGTCCTGTTAATGGAGAATTCTCTACTAAATATCTGAAATACTAGATTTTGAAGGAAGACATGGAAATGAAGCGTCAAACATTGGATCAGCTGAGTGAGATTGGCCAAGATGTGAGTCAGTTACTTGATAACCCCAGGGCATCTAAGAAGATCAACAGTGACTCAGAGGAACTAACTCAAAGATGGGATTCTTTGGTTCAGAGACTGGAAGATTCATCCAACCAGGTACCTTTTGATTTGGATAGTATGTTGTGCCATTAAATAAAAATTTAAATTTCAGTGTTCAGGTTCATTTTAATTTTTATGACATGAAAGAGTAGTAGGTGAACTAAAAAGTTGATTTCTTACACCTGATGAAAATTTGCCATGCGAAATCTTTTCCTTCAGTTTTTTTTTTTTTTTTGAAACAGAGTCTCGCTTTGTTGCCCAGGCTAGAGTGAGTGCCCTGGCGTCAGCCTAGCTCACAGCAACCTCAAACTCCTGGGCTCAAGCAATCCTCCTGCCTCAGCCTCCTGAGTAGCTGGAACTACAGGCATGCGACCATCGCCAGCTAATTTTCTATATATATTAGTTGACCATTCATTTCTTTTATTTTATAGTAGAGACGGGGTCTCACTCTTGCTCTGGCTGGTTTTGAATTCCTGATCTCAAGCAATCCACCCGCCTTGGACTCTCAGAGTGCTAGGATTATAGGCATGAGGTGCCACGCCCAGCCTTCCTTCAGTTTTTTAAAGTAAATTTTAATAGCTCTTCACAAAACATATTAATATATCCAGTAATTTAATTTGTAGTAACTGATAACACTTATGCAGGTATCCAATAATCTTAAAATCTTAAATCTTATTGATCTTAAAAATATTTTAATGAGTTGATCAAAAATAAAATTTGGTTTGTATATGAATGTTCATAGCAGCATGATTTATTATAGCCCCCAAATTGGAATGACCCAAATGTTCATCAACAGACGAATGGACAAACAAAAATGTGGTATATCCATACAATGCAATATTACTTAACAATAAAAAAGAATAAAGAATTGACACATGCTACCACATGGATGAACCTTGAAAACATGCTGAGTAAAAGAAGTCAGTCACAAGATTATATGCACTGTGATTCCATTTATATAAAATGTCTAGAATAGGCAAATCCATAGAGATAGAAAGTAGATTAGTGGTTGCCAGGGCTTAAGGGGGAAGGTAATGGAGATTGACTGCTAGTGAGTATGGGATTTCTTTTTGGGGTGATAAAACTGTTCTGGAATTAAAGAGTGGGAATGATTGTCCAACTCTCTGAATATACTAGTAGCTGTTGAATTGTACATTTCAAAGGGAAAATTTCATAGTATGTGAATTATATCTTAGTAAAGCTGTTATAAAAATTTAAACATTGGTTGATTTTTATTTCAGGTGACTCAGGCAGTAGCAAAGCTGGGAATGTCTCAGATTCCTCAGAAGGATCTTTTGGAGACTGTTCGCGTAAGAGAACAAGTAACTACAAAAAAGTCTAAGCAGGAGCTCCCTCCTCCTCCTCCTCCAAAGAAGAGACAGATCCATGTGGATATGGAAGCTAAGAAAAAGTGAGAACAGACAGAGAAACTTTTCAAACTCAAGACTGCACATAATGTATTTCATACTTGCTACTTATTTTGCACTGTCACTAATCATATGTAAATTCAGACATAATTAGTATTATGGAAATTCAGCTACTGAACCACTCACTGCCCCTGAGTCTTCTGAATATTCTTCTTCATACTAGCTAAGCGTCTCAATTGTCTTGGATGGTTTTATTTATCCTGTGTTCACTTAGGAGAACTCTGTGGCTGTGCCCTTCTTTGTTCCTTTCCCATCATTCACCTTGTCCACGACTCTATTTATTCGTTCTTTCACTAGCCACAATGATGATGATTTTGCTTTGACATCCTCATTCTTTGTGAATCCACTTCTTCCTCTCACCGTTAAAAAATAATTGATTCAGGGAAATAATTCACTTTTAGTCTTCTTTTTTTCTTTTTCCCCCCTTCATTCTTTTTTATGTTTTCTTGTTTCTTTTGTTAATTTCTTTGCCAGATTCATTAGCATATTCTTGTTTGGCTTAAAGATCCATCTTTGGCATCAGATGTTTCTTTTTATCTTGTTGATTCAAAAGAAAACCTAGCATCTTTATAAGAAGGAAAATTATGATTGATACATATTATGCTTTTACTGATATCAGATATTCTATTAAACTATACAGTGTCCCAGGTACTGTACCTTACATGCACTATAGCAGATAGTCCTCAAAATAGCTCTTGAAAGGTACTACTCTCCTGCTTTTACAGTAGAATCTCAGTGCTTGGATAAGTGAGCAATTATTTTGAGCCTGAATATAAATGATATGCTTTTACTAATTTAGCTTATGTTGGACAAAGCAGGATTCCAATTTTACCAGATGTTCTTATTTTGATAATAAAGGTATGTTTCTGCCTCCTAATAGCTTCTGCTTGTAAGATCAGTGCACCTCTGAGTTGCAAGCAGCAGTGGCCGAATGTTTACTTTTGGAGCCAAGGCAGCATGGGGGAAAGATGCTTCTGATGTTAATATTAGAATAGATCTCACATTTCCTCAGTGCATAATATCTGCCAGGTATACCTGGCAGTGTATCTTTCTAATGCTGACTTTGTGCATTTGGAAGCACAGAAGGCTGTAAAAGACTAGGATGCATAACTGTGAAATCCTAACTTAAACAAGACCGTATTGTGTAGAGTGCATTCTGCTGCAAGAAACAGAATACCATACCCAAAATGACTTAAACAATGAGATCACTGATGATATTACATTACAAAAAGTCTGGAGGGAGGGCAGTTTTAATGGGAGGTGTGGTTCAGCAACCCTCTTCTGTGGTCTTTGTCATCCTTGGATGTTGGCTTTCACCTTCAGCATTGTTGTCTCAGCAAACTTACCCCCTGGTCTCACTGGCCAGGATTCAGTCACTTGCTCGTGCCATGGGTGCAAGGGAGGTTGGAACTAACTAACTTTTTCAGTCTCTGTGGGTGTGTTTTGGGGGACTGGGACAGCAAGGAAGAAGTGTGGAAAGGGGGTGTCTGTTGGGTGGGCAACTGTCGGTGAGGGTCACAGTCATCACCTCCATGCTTTGACGGATGAGGATATTCCTTCACTTCATTCTTAAACAAATAGAGGCTTGAGTACATCCAGTTCATTACAGTTAAATCTCCTCATTAGAAAGGTTATTTTTATCCTCAAATTCTGCCCCTTCTAAGTGTACTCATGTGTACTAGTTCTTTCTCGAGTGATATAGAGCCATGTAGCTCTCTTCAGTCTGTTTCCTCAGCCTTTGAAGATAACTTTTACATTCTGATTTTCATTTTCCTAAAGTTCAGAGTATCCTTCACAGTTCCTAGTGTGACATGATTTCCATGCTCTTTCATATCTTTAGTCTGCTATCGAAACCGCTATTAGCTTGCCTTAAAATGGACTGCCCTTACAGTTGAGAGCCTTAAATAACTGCTTAAAGCACTGCCTAGTTTAAAATGTGTGCTTAAAAAATGGCGGCTCCTTCCCCCTTTCTTCCCTGGGTGCTCAGGTTAAGCTAGGGCTGCCATTTCTTAGAATGTGGATATCTGTTACTATGACCTGAGATCATCACATCACTCTTGCTCATTCTGAGGGCAGAACTTGACTGAGTCTCCAAGATCATTTTATTTTATTTTATTTTTTGAGGCAGAGTCTCGCTTGTTGACCAGGCTAGAGTGAGTGCCGTGGCGTCAGCCTAGCCACAGCAACCTCAAACTCCTGGGCTCAAGCAATCCTTCTGCCTCAGCCTCCCCAGTAGCTGGGACTACAGGCATGCACCACCATGCCCGGCTAATTTTCTATATATATTAGTTGGCCAATTAATTTCTTTTTATTTATAGTAGAGACGGGGTCTTGCTCTTGCTCAGGCTGGTTTCGAACTCCTGACCTCGAGCAATCCGCCCGCCTGGGCCTCCCAGAGTGCTAGGATTACAGGCGTGAGCCACCTCGCCCGGCTTTCCAAGATCATTTTAAATGCGTGATCTTTCTGTGGCCCTCGTCTACCCTGAAAGATTAAACAGAACTCTGCTGTTAAGACGACAGAAGGAATGTACCCCTGCTTGAGCGACAGCTCAGTCCCTGGTTATTTACCTAGAGCATCACAAAATCCTTTACATGTTACAAGGAAAATTTACCTTGATCAAAGGACAAATATTCATAATTCACTAGAAACACTTCAAACGAAGTTTCTGTAACAATCAGCAATAACACTTTGTGCTTCTGCCTGAAGTACTGAGAACTCGGTGGGAAGGACATTGGTTAAGACAGTCCAGGCTGGGCATGGTGGCTCACGCCTGTAATCCTAGCACGTTGAGAGGCCAAGGTGGACGGATCATTTGAGCTCAGGAGTTCGAGACCAGCCTGAGCAAGAGTGAGACCCTGTCTCTACTGAAAAAATAGAAAGAAATTAGCTGGACAACTAAAAATATATAGGAAAAATTAGCCGGGCATGGTGGCACATGCCTGTAGTCCCAGCTACTCGGGAGGCTGAGGCAGGGGGATCACCTGAGCCCAGGAGTTTGAGGTTGCTGTGAGCTAGGCTGACACCACGGCACTGTAGCCTGGGCAACAGAGTGAGACCCTGTCTCAAACGAAAAAAAAAAAGAAGACAGTCCAGCTCCGGGTGAATCCCAGCTCTTGTATCTATTGGCTTTGTGGCATGGGATAGTTAATGAAAACCTCTGGTGATCTCAGTTTCCTTTATCTCTACAAGGGACAATAATAGTATATATTTCATAGGGTAGTTGTGAGGATTCCTGGAGTTAAAAATGCACATAAAACACTTAGAAAGGGCCAGGTATGCAGCAGCAGTCAATGCCCGTTTCCCCTCTGGCTTCTCTAGCTGTGGTCTGACCTGCCCTGTCAAGACCGCTCAAGCCCGCCCACTGTCTTCCTTCCTGCTGTCACTATCGTAGTTCTGGCTCCTGTTGGCACTACAGCCTTTTCTCTGCTCTTGCCTCTCTTCCATGCCTTCTCCTTAGTGAACACTGAGAATGTGAATAGAATCATGGCAGTCCCATGCTTCAAACCCTCCCTTGGCTCTCAGCTGCCCTTTTGTTAAGTCCAAACTCCTTAATATGTCTTGCAAGGCCTTCCAGTCACTGGTCTGTGTGATTCTTGGCCACGATTTCAATTGTCCCTCCCTGCAAGTGCAGTACTCACTATTCCAGACACACCTAACTACTTGGGAGTTTGCAGAATGTGGTCTTCCCTGTCTGTGCTCTCCCTTGGCAAGGAAAATTGCTAAGCACAATACTGTTTTTCTCCATCCCTTCCCTGACTGGATTAGGAGCTATTCCTGTGAATTTCTGGAATTAGCACTTAGCAAATTCTTTTGTTACTAATTTCCACTGCTTACTAGTCTAGAAGCTCCTTGAGGTCTGAGATTTGTGTCTGGTTCACCTTTGTTATCGAGAGCCTCGCCCAATCCCTGGCATATGGCAAGGCTCAAGCGTGACGTCGTATTGAACACAAGAAGGCATAGCCTTGAGGAATGTCTGTACGCATTCTTTTCTGATATTATCTAACGAAATCTGGTTTAATTATCTGCTAGAGTTTATGAAAATACAAGTGATTCCTTATAAAGTTAACAATTTTTTAAATATGTAGTTTAAAAATATTTCATTATTTTTGTCAGTTATTTATTAACACTATAGTATTCTTACTCTTTTCATATTTTTAATTGTACATACATGATCTTATTTTGCATGGCTGTTATATTTCTGGGTGGCTGTATTTGGGGAGTGTTTGAAAACACATGCCTGATGGGCACTTGGATTGCTCTTTCTTGAGCCTAGTTAAGCAATAGAAGAAAACAAATGACAGATGGTAACATTTGCATCTTATGTCAGGTTTGATGCTGTAAGTGCAGAGCTGTTGAACTGGATTTTGAAATCAAAGACTGCCATTCATACCATAGAGATAAAAGAGTATAAGAAGATGCAAGAGACCTCAGAAGTGAAAAAGAAGCTGAAGGTAAAACATAAACCAAAAATATCCTAGTGCATAAAATATTTCATCTGATTAGATTTTCTGTTGGCCTAAAGATGTGCTGGGATCCAAAAGCTTCCTGTAAAATAAATGTAAGCATAAAGTAGCTTTTAGAACGTTGTAGTAAATTTTGAATCCATTCACTCTAGCTGTGATCAGATTCCTGTTTGAAGGAGGACTGTTTTTTCCTTTTTCCTCTTCAACCATTGAGGCATGCAGTAAGGAACACTTCCAGTGGTGATTCAGTTATTATACTATTTTTCAGCTTGTTTAGATCTACCTTAATCTGGTGCCTAATAATTTATGACTTTGTGTAAACATTATGCTGAAGATGTTTTGCCTTCCAAATACAACAAACTATTTCAAATTTTTAAATTTCTCCAATATATTCTCTTTAGAGAAGAGACACAGTTTTTAAAAATAAATATTATTAAAATGTATGGGATCTTAGCTCTGTTATTTTGCACCCTTTTGTGTGTTACTGAAAAGTGTGGTGGGCATTTGCAGTGCTGTATTGTCCCTGGTGCTCACACGTCCCTCTGTGTGTCACTACATTAACAATTTGGGCACCTGGTGTCAGTCTGTAGTAGCTTCTGTATCAGACACAGGGTTTGTTTTTAAAGAGTTTGGAGGATATTTAACAAACAAGATGCGCATAAATATCTAAGGTATAAGTTAGAAAGTGCTAGGTAACATAGAAATTGAGAGGACCCAGGACGGCAGGTGTCTCTACACAGTAGTGAAGTCCAAGGGTGAAGGGGCCTGAGCTGGCCTGCAGGAGGGTGGGTAGGGCACAGCAGGCACAGGGAGTCCTTGAGCAGGGGCACCAAGGTGGGCAAGCATCTAGTGATTGTTGGAACAGCTACTGCATTTTGTTTAGTGCTAGGTATGTGTGTCAAAGAAGAGAGTTAAAGCCGAATGGGTGGTTTGAAGTCAGACCTTGACCAAGTTTGAATGTTTGAATGGGAAGTTGAGACTGATTTCTGCATTATCATTCCACTGTAGCTGCTCTTTTCCAGGTCATCATTGGCCGTTCAGTTTCCACATGCAAAAAATGCATTTCTGTTCTCATCAGAGCTCCTCTCTCCACAGCATTTGCCACTGTTTACTCTTCCCTCCTTCTTACACTCGCAGCCCTTGGCTTCAGTGACCAGGTGGTCTTTCTGAAATATAAATCTGATTAGACAGCTCCTGTGCTTGCCATCCATTAATGGCTTCCCACCACCATGGGGATGAGATCTAACTCCATAGCACCCCAGCATACAAGGGTACTCTTCCCGCCCTCTAAACACGCCTCATGCCCTCTCATTTGCCCTTCTGACTGCTGCTCTCGTCTTACTCTTACCTTTTTGAGGTGCTATTTTCCTTGCCCAGAATGGCCCTCCATTAAGTCCACCTTGCTGTGTGGCTGAAATGCCCCCTACTCCAGGAAGCCTCCCTTAGCCCCCCAAGAAAGAGTTAAGTGACTCATCTTTTGACTTCCATATGGCTTTGGCCTTACTTCCGTGAAAGCCCTGCTTGCCTGTGTACTGTTACTTGTTTCCATGCCTGCCTGTGAGAGCTTAGAAACCAAGGATAGCCTGGCATGGTGGCTCTGTAATCCTAGCACCCTGGGAGGCCAAAGTGGGAGGATTGCTTGAACTGATGAGTTCGAGACCAGCCTGAGCAAGAGTGAGATGCGTCTCTACAAAAAAATAGAAAAATTAGCTGGGCGTGGTGGTATGCGCCTATAGTCCTAGCGGCTAGAGAGGTTGAGGCAGAAGGATCGCTGGGCCCAGGAGTTTGAGGTTGCAGTGAGCTATAATGACATCACTGCATTCTACCCAGGGTGACAGAGCAAGACTTTATTTCCAAAAAAAAGAAAGAAAAAAAAAGCAGAGAAAGAAATCAAGGATAATTTTTCATTGCTCCCTGTTCTTTCAGTACTTGGTAAAGCTCTTGGAAGAGGGGACATGAAAACTGTGGGTGGACAGGGGCAGGGGGACGGTGGTTGAGCTGGGAGCACCTTCATCAGAACCCGCTGTACAGAGTTTGGAGAGCCAGAAAGCAGTGATGCCCGTGTTACAACATTTCATATGCTTCTTACAGTTCTGAAAGGCTGATAGATGATATTAATGATCATTGAACAGCCCAATTCTCAAAGACCATTCAGGTGGCAGAGAATTTGGCAGTCAGTGATCTTCATGGAACAGTTTCCACAAAATATTAATAAGTTAAAGTCCATCCTATGATCCAGGAACAATTTTAATGGCAGAAAATGTTAGTATGACATTTGAGGGGATTAACATAACATAACATACATAATTGTATATAAGGCACGATTGTATATAAGGCATGATTGGCAGTTCCTATGTCTTCTATTTAATAGTTATCTATAAATCCATTTGTTTTGTTGTTTCAGACAAATACTAGATGCCAAAGAATTGGAAAAAGTGTTAAATAAAGAAAAATTAATCATTACTCTCATCCCTAATTTTTCTTGCAAATTGGGGAAAGATTAAGCTTAATTTTTTTTTAGCAAAGTAAGATCTCATTCCAAGGGATGAAATACCTGAGTGGAGAATCCATGGTCTAATCTCCTGTTATTGTTAGAAGTAGCAAAAAACTTTCCCGGCCTCCAGCTTTAAAAAAAAAAAAAAAAAAAAAAAATCAATTTGTAAAAAGCAGATAATCATTTTTTCTCCAGTTTAATGTGACTTTTTGCATTGATCCTTAGTTAAAAAAAATAAATGGTGTTTCTTAGACTCTCTTGCTAATGTTTCCTGGTCTTTAACAATAAAAATGGTTGTTCTACCTAGTCACATTAAAGTGTGAAGATCGAAATGGGATAGTTAAATTTATTTGATAGTGCTTACATGTAAAGAATTTAGAAGTGGGATTTTTCTCTGGATTGTCTGGTTGAAGTAATAATATGGGTTGCTTGGAAGTTTCTATTGTGTTATGATATGGACATGATTTGAATAGTTAACTAATTTATAAATATCAGTTGGGGTTGGAGGAATGGGAGAGATTTCAAATACTGAGTTTTGTGCACATCCTCTTGTGTGTATGTGTGTTCGTTATTTTGCTTGTCCATTCTTATTAGTCCTTGCAAGATTTTGGTCTTGAGAATATTAAACTATAAAGACAAAAATATTAAAATTACAAGCCACTCCTCAGGCATAAAGAACAAAATGCTTTAGTTTGAGTTCTAAAGGATATTTTCATGATTTAAAAATTACGTAAGAAATATGATTGTGGTTGAATTTGTATTAGACTCTAGGCTTAATATAACACCAACAACTAATACCAAGCCTCAAAATATTTCTGTGTCTTTTTCTTGTTAATTAATTTTTGTTCCGTGATCTTTGTCATAGCACAATCAGTTATTTTGACTCAAACTGTTATTTTTGTGGTGTAGCATACTCGGGCTATGTAGGTGAATACATATTCTGGATCTAAAACAAAGTAATTTGGTTATTTTCTCTTGATAGGAGCTCATAATTATGGTGTACATTTTTTTTTCTTATAAAAGAAACCAACATTTTATAGTTGCTATGATCATTGTTTGGATTTATCTTTTCAGATTTATTCATCTCTGGAGGGCTGGAGGGTAGCCTGGTATTACATAACTTTGTACCGTAGTATTCTCTTAGGTTAATTTTGACTAACATGCCTAAAGAGAATGTAGGAGGGACATTAAACCTAAAAATTTAAAATAAAATCACATTACATTGAGAAGAAAGTTTACAATATTCTTAATATTGGAACTTTATTTTCAGGCATTAGAAAAAGAACAGACAGAAAGAATCCCCAGACTGGATGAATTGAAACAAACTGGACAAACCCTTGTGGAGCAAATGGGAAAAGGTAAGACCCCCTTTTTTTTTTTCATATTTTTTAGATGGCCACACCAAATAATATTATAGTTTGACATATTAAATATTTGTTTTAAAACTCTCACCCTCTTTTTGTCAGGAAAATGGTTTACAAAATTTTTTTTAGGCATTAGAATCTTTTAAAAAATGAAATTTTATACTGAAGCTGATTATAAAAAAACAGATAAAAGCAAAGATGTTCTGTTTTTATATGGGGCCAGGGAATCAGAAACCCTGATACATTAGTAGAATAGTTAAAATTAAGTGGTATAGAAGATTGTAAAACCTCATCCTTTGGGGTTATATGTTGGGAGTATTTTTTGCAGGGTGTGTAGCAAAATAAAACTTTATTTATGCAACATTTGGGAATTGAAGTTAAATTAAGGTAAATCCATTAAGGGTATTTGATTTCTGATTACTTTCAATGTATTATATTGATTTATTAAAATTTTTTATAGTTAAATTTGATAAGGTATTACTTGTATTTGAAATTTTTATCTGCAAAGTTTTTTTTTTTGCTATAGCTCCCAGTGACCCAGAGGAGTCTAAAGATTAATTTTCTAGCTATGCAGGTTTACAAATGATTCTCTTTGTTCTACCTTTGAAAGACATTTCTTGTATTTCCTATTCCTAATTCCTAGTAATAGTAAGTGCTTTGGAGTGTGCTGTAGCTCTCCTTGACAAAGCCACAGACACCTAAAGCAGAATTAGGAATATTAGTTTGACAAGAATCTTCAAAATGGTAGCATTAAATCTTTTTTTTTTTTTTT